GCGGCGGCACTCCCACCGAGGGTTTGGATCCCACATGTAGACCGGCCGCTCACTGGCTGAGCGAGGTGCGGGCGCAACACCGAGGGCTGCGATCCCGTTGCCGGTCCCGGTCGGGTACGGGCGCGACACTGAGGGTTGCGATCCGTTGCCGGTCACGAAAAAAGACAAAAAAGGAAGAAAAAAAAAAAAAGATATTATATAAAATTACAATAATCGATACTACCATGTGTTATTAATTTTAAAAAAGACAGTTTAATGAAATGAATTAGAAAGCCCATAAATAGACCCTATCATATATTAAGAAAGCATGAAACAATTAACAAAGAAGAAATTTTTAAATCAAACAGAAAGAGAATTGTTAACATTCGTATAGTTTGGTACAATTTCTGAGCTATTTGTGAAAAAATAAAAATGAAAGTTGAATCACTGTAAAATGAAATAAAAGCCGGATGTATTGACAAATTAAATGCAAAAAATAAAAGCATAAAATATAGAAAATATAGGTGAAAATTTATGTGATCTTGGTATGTAAAACTTGAAGCTAAACGCATGAAAAGAAATATACTGACATATTTACCCATCCCTAAATTTAAAAGTTTCTAGAAAAATATACATAATAAAACTAAAAGAAAGTTGGAAAAATATAAACATGATAAAGGGTTACTATTCTTGGTAGATACACAAGGTGTGATCACTCAAAAAGATACATGGACAAATATAAAAGCATTATGAATGAAAGCAACAGACTAACCTGCTGAGAATATCCCCGAAATGTTGGATTTACAGTTTTAATTCCTTGAAACAGATTAGTAGGTACAACAGATCCTGGCCTGAGGAAGAAAACATTTTTATAGAGAAATTTAGTGATTTTTAATTTTTTATTTTATAAATTAACAACCAAGAGTTCAAAGTGTTATTAAATAAACTGAAAAATATTTGTTTCAGAAAATCATTCAAAACTGCCTGGTATTACGTTTCATAGGCTCATCAAAACATCTTATGACTAATATTTTAAGCGATATTTTATTGCTATCTTTCCCCAAGTAAATGATCATGCTTCACTGTACAATTTTTCAAAAATGCAATTTCCTGAACAGTTCTAAAATGAAATTAACATAATAATTTTATATAGCAAACAATTATTATCCTAATGCTATACTTCAGAATAAACCTAAGCAAGAAATCATTCATGTAGGTATCTATGATCTGGTTCTAGCAATTGCGAGAATACCTACTCCTGCATTAAAACTCAAA